TTCTGTGTTACAGGTCAAGATATTCTTGAAATATGTGTGTGCGTGTGTATGTATTAACACACACCTTTATCTTTCTTTTGCATAGCCAATTCCAACCTGCGCCAGCAGGAATAATGAATGCAAACACTGGAAGCCTCTTAGATGTGTAGTCAGTAGGGAACAACTTGGCTACAAGCATTTTTATATATCTTCCAGCAACAGGAGAATCAAAGAGTCAATTGCTCTATTTCAGAGCCCAAGGCTATCCTGTGGATTTATAAGATCCTTGGAAGAAACCACAAAATTAATAATACACCAAAATTATTATTCCATAAACATGCATATATAAGTATAGTAGGTTTTGCACTCCTCTCATATGGATTTTTTTTTAATATTTTACAGATTTCTATTAAAGAAATCCTTATTTTACTGGCCCAAAGCACCATTTTAGGGGAATCAGTCTGATGTTCAGTTATAATTCTCATTTCAGTGTGCCCCAGAACATTTCTTGATTGTTTTTATTTGAATTCCCAAACCAGTACATCCTACAGCTTGCTGTAACTTAACATTTAAATTTCATACCCTTTCCATTATTCTAATTCTGTCCCTACATTTCCTAACTTTTCTTTTCACCAACACATTTTGAATAGGTAAAAAGGACACATGGCCAAATTAGCCCCTAAATAATAAATGATCTATAATACATACAAAGGCATTTTATAGATGGATAATACATATGCTTACATAAAGCCCAGATAATGCAGTGACGCATATAATAGAATTTATGATAGGGATGTGGGATAAGTTTGATTTGAACCTGATTTAGCACTTCAGAAAATAGATTGATTCAACTCCTACTGAAACAGAGTTGGCTTGGTTTGTGGCCCAAGTTTATAGCTACATTTGACTATCATGGAAAAATAATAGATCATTGAATTTTCTGAGGGTTTTTTTTTAACAGAAGGGGATTTGATTAGCAGGCTTATTAGAATCTTCTGATGGGATGAAGCCTGCCCACATTCATAGAATTAGAAATCCAAAATTCAAAATACACAGATTTTGGAGCTAGACTATTTGATTATTACAAAAAGGAAAGTGTGTGTAGCCTTGGTGGTTTTGGAAATAATTAAATTACAAAGGCACTGTGGCCTTTTCATGCAATAAATCATACCAAATTTGAGAGAAAAGACTAAAGAGGAATTCATGTAAAGGTGAAAATGTAGTCATTATCCCCATTTCCAGTTTTTTTGTTGCCAACATCTAAGAATTACAGAGGGATAGGGGAAAATTTCTAGAGATAGGGTCATTTAAATTCTCATTGTTAAAATAGGAAAGTGCCTGTAATTTATGATTTTAGCTATAAACAAGGCCTTTCTAGAGCACTATATCTAGTAAGACTTCAAGAACATTCCTTGTGAATAGATTTGTCAGTCACTTAAATCTACTCTTTTTCGACCCTTTATTTCCCAACCTGACCTTACATGGAGAAATGAAATCCAGATGCTGGTTCCTTTGCAAATATTATTGTCTTTCCAGGCCAACAAGTTTATCTATTTTTCCTACATTTACAAGGGATGTTTAAAGAAAATTAGAATATATACACAGTCTATTTTTGCAGTTCTGTTCCGATATTCCTAAAATTTCTGTTATGAAATTGTCTTTATTTTTGTATTTCTGTTCTGGACCCCTTAACTTGCAGAATATGTAACCCAACCTGCTTGGTCTAAACTTGCAAATAGAGAGTGTTGTTTGGTTGTCCTTCTAGTCTAGTGCATATAGGACAGAGTGGCTCACAAAGTAATAATATAATAATAGAACAATTCTGTTCTATTCAGCATTGAAGGGAATGACTGCAGTTCCCCACCTACTCATTCACCATGTTTCTATTTGCATTCATTTGTCTTGAAGTTTCTAGCAATTTCCAGAAAAAAAAATGAATGCATGCATGCATGCATGCATGAATATTATAGAGCTCTGAAAAACTGTGCTAAGTAAAATAGTGGTAAAGGAAGACTGTTTGAAAATATGTTTAGTTCTTGGCTTCTCTATTCAGGCATCTGTATGATCAAGGTGCTATAGCAATAAACATAGACAAGACCTTCCTAACGAAAACACAGTACTGTATCAACTAATCTATATACAGAAGTCCAGGATGCAACAAAGTGGAGGTTACTCATTGTTTCAAATGTAAGTTTAGATTAACACTTTGCTGCCATTGCAACAAAATGATATCTTTAGAGTTCTGTTTCTCATAGCCTAACATCTTTTAGCCAAAGGAGGTAGAACTACATTTTCCTATTTACTCAAAGGTCCAGCTGATACGGAACAATTTAAATTTTATTTAACAATAATGTTAGCAATTACACTGTATGTAAAACTCTCACAGAATGTTTCTGTTTAAGGATACAACAAGAGTACTTTCTGCTTATTTACAGAAAGATAATTTACTTTGTTATAAGACAATTGTTGATTATTATATCTACTGATTATCTCCTCTTTCTTCCCTTCCCTCCCCCTTTTTTCACCGTTGTCCACTGTTTTTCTCCTCACGTCCCCTCCTCGGTCTCTTAACCTCGTCCTGCCTTCTTTACGAGAACATGTCTTGTTCTCCAATTTCTTACATTATACTAATGAAGCAAACAATCATTTTTATCATAGAAATCTTAGTGGTATTATATCAAACAAGCACTATAGACTTCTACTGAGCAATGGGAGTGGAACTAGAGGGATAGAGAAATATCAAAAAAATACAAAAACCAGGATAGGACAACTCCATGCACATTCAGGAAGGAGATGGCTAGAGAAAATGACTGTAGATGCTGTAATGCCCTGGTTTTAAATGGAAACAGAATGCTGAAACTCAACATGGTGCAAAGAGATGAGGATTAGCGAAGGTAAGAAATCCCTTCTATAGAAAAATGACTTTTTCAATGAGTGCAGAAGTATAACTGAAGATCTCAGAGGAAGAACATTATCCATTATAAGTGGAAAAGAAGATTGTTTTTTTTTAATTATTTGAGAAAATGGCAAGCGAGACAGGAACACGGTTATGTTATGTATGGAAAAAGATCTAGGAATGCAGTTTTTTTTAAAAAGTATGTCTCAATGTGTATCTTTTAGATTACCTTTCGGTTCCTGATCAAAGGAGCCTCTTGTAAATTCCAGTTGAATTGTTTTGTAGTGATCCCATACAGATGATTTAAGATTTGTGCAAATCCACTGCACATCCCTAATCTAATGTAAACCAAGTCAGCCCAAGCTACTGTTGTATGTTGTATCATTGTATTGCTTATTCATAAAATTATTTTGCTTTCTATGTACATTCCATAAATATATCCTGGACTCTGTGCCAGCTTTATCCAATATATTTTCCTGGGTTGAATATTATGAGATCTATAATACAGCACATCTTGTAAACACCAGTTGGGAAAGGCTGATTTAGATCAAAGCAGAATCTTGAGATTTAATATAGCATCAGATAATTTGGTTGTGGGAATAAAAGAGAGCAACAGCACTATGTAAAAAGAAAATAAGCATCTTTGCAGATGCAGGGGGAAAACAATTACACACACACAGTAAAATACACACAACCTTGCATTCAGATTTAATCCGATCTATGAAATGCAACAAATTGTTGCTTTACATGTGAATTACATGTATAATTATTTTTAGCAGAATATGTAAGCTAAGTCTACTGAAACATTTAAAGCAATACATGCAAATGCTGAACTCTTTGAAGCAATAGTCTCTTTATCTAAGAAAATCATAATCAGATGTCACAGTGAGAGAAGAAAGTGAGCAAGAAAGAAATAGAGGAATTTCTGTTTCCCTCCCCCACCTTTGCAGTATGCCTCTTCCCTGTAAACAAATTATATGCCTTTAAAGATGGTTATGGTTTCCTTAACTCTGTATTCACTTATGGTATTTGCTCTTTAAATATAGCGTCTCTGTTTATTTATTTAGATATAAAGGAGATGTTTTAAATTTGTTAAGCTTAGCAATTGAACCCTACCCTTGTTTGACTTGTGAAGTGTCCTATTATAGTACTTGGTGTTTATCCTCATTCCTAACAGTTCCATATGCCTATTTTTGTGAAGGGTTCCTGTTAAAAACAAAGCTGGGCCCTGGAAGTGACTAAAAAAAAAAATATTTTCCTCTATTGCAACTAATTGGGTTTCTAACACTTAGGGAGTTTGGACCAAGGCCTTCCATTATTTATTTATTGATTTATTTATTTATGAGACTTATATACCACTTTAAGTGCAAGCACTCTCTAAGCGGTGTACACCAGTAAGCAATGTATATATATATTTACATTGCCCCCAACAATCTGGGTGCTCATTTTACCTACCTCGGAAGGATGGAAGGCTGAGTCAACCTTGAGCCGGTGAGATTTGAACCGCTGACCTGCTGAACACAGCTAAAGTGGCCTGCAGTATTGCACTCTAACTGCTGCGCCACCTCGGCTCTTATCATTATCATTTCATGGGAGAGAAATTTGTGTTTTTCTAGCTGGACATAGACATGACTACACTTTAGGAATTGAAATGACAAAATCAATGGCTTAGAAAGAGGCCACACAAGTCCACTCTGCGTTCCCACGCAGATTCCCCATCTCTTCTTAGTGTAGTTTCAACTAACCATAATATGCCACCATTATAGCTAACCTTCTGTAAAATGCCTATGAGCATCATGTTGCTTGTATGGCTCTTCCCCAGAGAGGCTAGTCGGCATTAAGAATGTATAAAGTACAATTCTGTCTGAGCATTTTGGTAACTATTTGTTATGATATTGCTTCCTGTCAAGTGCATAATGCAATTTTGTCTTCCATAAAAATCAACACTACGTGTAATCTCAGAAGCTTGTCACTTCCCCCATTTTTGGCACTAAATATTTAAAGAGGAAGAGACCAGGGAATTCCAAGCTAGCAATCCATTCCTTGTGTTCTAGCCCTGAGCTAGAACTATCAATGAAATGGTGCTGTACAGCAACAGAGAAATGAAAGAGACTAAAAATCTTACCTGCCCACAGGCCAGTCCCATGCCTCTTTCTCCCATGCCATGTGGGCATGATAAATTCAACTCCAGGGCATCAGCTCCGGAAGCCTACATGATACACAGAAAAGAGGGTGGGGGAATCAAATATTAACTGCCAAATGCTGGAGCACTTTAGTGAAGGCAATTTCCCAATTTCATGAAATATTTCCTCCCCCTACACCAATATTTATTTTAGTTCATTACTAATTCCACACAAAATATTTTTGAGCAATGGGAAATCAAATAAAAACAAAGGGAATATCCAAAGGAAGGCATCATTTTAGATTAACAGGGATTGTTATCTTTCTGCTTTTCCTAAACTAGTTCTGAATTAAATTAAGACAATTCTGGAAATATTGTCCAGCGGGTAGTACAATAAGCCTGTACAGTTCAGATAACAGATTAAAAATGTGCTTACATCAAACTATTGCACACGCTGCCATATAAAAAAGCTCTTAGGCATTTTAAATTGTGGGCAGGATGAAAACATTCTCACCAATATGTTGATTTTTTTGTACCGGAAGAATTGCTTACAATTGGTATTAATAACTGGTTGCTGGTGGTGGTCTGTTTCCATTGTTAAATGTATTCATTTCATGTCAGAAACAGTTTTAGAGAATATAATTTATAATTTAACTACATCAGAAATCTGGAAGGAATAGAAATCTTGGAAGGCATCACAAATTTAGTACATATGCCTGGAACCGAACATTAAAAGAACAAGTGAGCGGTGGATGATAGGAAGCAGTCAGAATTAGAGTAAATGCAAGCAAGTGTGACTGAGTACTCTTTATCTGAAATATACTTCTTTTATCCAGAGGTCCTCCCACTTCCACTGAGTGCCATTTATCCACCCCTTTATTTATCCTGCTTTAATTCCAGGAGCCAGGGATTATGTACAGGACCCTTCAGTTTTTCTCCAGTAAAAATCCTTGGAATTGGGCTGGTAGATCATGTAATTGGCTTCCTATGGGCAAGGTAGATTCAGTTAATCTGAACGTGAGGCTATAAAGTACATTTCCTATAGTATGTCCCCTGGGAACGAAGTTAACCAAACTTCTTTAGAGGTTGGCAAAGATTATATTTCTGTTAGAGTTACGATTAAGTTCAGGAAAAAGTTCTTATTTTATCTCAACAGATTTCCTATCATTATGAATTATAAAGATTCTACTCATCATGATTAAATCAGTGTTGCCCTGAAGATTTTTATTCAATGGTTATCAAGATAAACCTCTATATTTCTATGGAATTATGATGCAGATTTCAGGAAATGTGTACTTGAAATGAAGTCCATTATCTCCGTGTTTTAACTCCATCATTACAATAGAATCATGCTGGCCTGCAAAGCATTTCTGCTCAGGGACTTTTATCTGCAGAGAAAAGGGAAGAGAAGCCAAAAGCTGCCTTGCCTCTTTCTAGAAGCCTGAAACTCTCGTTTTTATAGAATGCTTCAAACCAGAGTCCCCCAAAATGGGTAATATTGACCACTAAGGATCAATAGGACTATCTGCTGCTGCTGTTGTTGTTGTTATGGTTAATTGCACAGTCAGCCAAATGTTTAGACTGGATTTGGATTTTTTTATCCACCTATAGAGTCTTTCTCAAAGATCTGGGCTAGGCAGAAGAATGTTTTGCAACTGAATGTTAGTGATTTTGGCAGTGCTGATGCTGTTCAAGTGATGCTCAGTTGTTCTGGAATTGCACCCGAACAGTCTATTACCATTGGCACTATCTTTGCTTTCTTTTGCCATAGTCATTCTACTTCTGTTTCAAGGGCTTTGTACTTTGTAATTTTTTCAAGTTCTTTCTCTTCTGTTCTGCTGTCTCCAGGTAGTACCATGTCACTATCTAGACTCTTTTGTCTTTCTTATGAACAATTGTTAAGTCTGGATTTTATATGGCAGGTGCTTCACTGTTTGAATTCTAAAGTCCCATAACACTTTAGCTTTTCTATTACTTTGTCTGTTTTGTAATCCCACCCATTCTTGCTTGCAGGGAAATAGTTTTTCTTGCAGATATTCCAATGCACCATTGTTGCTATTTTGTCATGCTGCTGTTTGTAGTTCACCTGTGCAATCTTCTTGCAGCAACTAACTAGGTCAGTGGTGGCGAACCTATGGCACTGGTGCCAGAGGCGGCACTCAGAGCACTCTCTGTGGGCATGCATGCTATCACCCCAGTCCTAGGCCTTCATTTGGGTTTTACAAAACCTTTTCGCTTTAGACCTCCACCGCCGTGTGCAAAAAAAAAAGGTTTTGCAAAGTTGGATTTGATTGATTGAACTTTTTAGTCCCACCTAGTCTGTTGTTACCACTGCAGCCACGCCCACCCAATTGGCCACACCTACCCAATTGGCCACACCCAGACAATGGGCCACACTTATCCGGCAATGCATAAGTGGGCTTTGGGTTGCAGTTTGGGCACTCGGTCTCTAAAAGGTTCGCCATCACTGAACTAGGTGGTCCACTGTTTCTTCAGCTTCTTTGCAGGGATGGCATTTGCTGTCTCTGCAAATTGCTCTTATTTATTTTGGCTTTGTGCACATTTGTGTACAAAGGTCTTGTTCAGCCAGAATATCCCCCCCTCCCATCTCTTTCTGTACCTTTCCTACTCTTTGCCACTGCCAGGTCTTGTTGTTATCTACTTTGCTTACTAGTTTTTTATGTATTGGCCATGTAACACTTTGCCTTGCCATGTCTCTTTACTATTTTTCATTTAGTCTTTTTTGTAGACCAGTAAGCCTCAATGGTATACTAGCATCAATGCATCTTGTTTGCTGTTCTTCAGATATTCTTCCAATGCCCTTTTTTCTTCTTCAACTGTCTGGGCTACTTGCAACATTCCCAACCTATTTTCCTTGTTAAGTGGAATCTCTCAAGATTACTGAGTGGATGAAGGACAAGATTTATTTTAATTCTTGTTTTCTTTTTTTGGGATGTGTGTGTTTGTGTCTTCCTATCCAGGGCTTTTAATTCCGTTTGGGTCAAACTCAGTAGTCCAGCTGTGTATCTAATGTATGGAATTGCCTAGATGTTAATTGCCTTGATGGTATTTCCTCCACTGATTTTGGATTTTAAGATTTTCTTCACTTTCATGATGTATTCACTTTTAACCTTTTTAACTTCAGTGTACTTGATGTTGTCAGCTTGAAGTATGCCAAAAATATTTATAGTAATCATCTTCATTCAGATTCTTAATGTTATTTCCAAAGGATATTTTGATTCCATCAGTTTTCATTATTTTCCCCTGCTGATGGTGAATCCATTGTCCAGTCCATTGAAAAGTCTTGCCTACATATATGGACCATGTTGAATAGCAATTCTATTTCAGATGGTGTTTTTTCATAGAGCTTTAGATTGCCCATGAAACAGAGATGGTATTTGCTGCTTGATAGCCATAGTTTGACTTGTTTAGTACTATTGACAGAGTAATCAGTGCAGTGACCAACAGTAGTGTTGATAGTGAATCTCCTTGAAAGATTTCTCTCTTGATAGTAACCTCTTTCAATCTATCTCCATTGACCAGCAACTGGGTTTTCCATTGTGCTACTGATCTTTGCACAAAGCTTCTCATGTTTTTATTGACTCCTGCTATTTCTAGACTATCTAATCATGTGGCAGGAAGTTAAATGCCTTCTTGTAATCAATCCAAGCTACATCAAGTGCTCTTCCTTCTCTTGCAGTTTTCCAAAACCATCTTGTCAATTGGGAGTTGATCTTTTGTATCTCTGCTGTTTGGGAAGTTTTCTTTTATTCAAATGGAGAAACTTTGTCTTCAACTAAATGCTGTTGGACTGCATTGGCTACCACATCAATTATCAATCTGGAATTTGTTGGTAAGCATGTAATTTGCCTGTAGTTGCCTGGTGCTGCCCCTTTTGTTGGATCTTTCATTATCAGGTAGGCTTTGCCTGATTCAGTTTTATCTCCTTGCAGTTTGTTGTTAAACTGATTGGCAATGAATTGATGCAGACTAGATAGATGTTTCAATCAAAAACATGCAGTTTTTCTTCTTGTAGTGCCAATGAATTCTTGATTCTTTGTGATGACCAGTCCAATAACTCTTAGCATAGAACGTGTATATAAGAATGTGTATGCATGTATATTTTGTATGCATGCATATATACGTATTTGATATATGTGAATGTATTTTTGTATATGTGTGTGTATTCACCTACCTGTTCCTATTTTATATTGATGATTATGTGCTATTATGTTGGTGTAAACTCTTAGTGACCATATAATTCTATATTAACTATTTTAATTATTATAATTTTATAGCTGTGTCTTAATAATATGTTATTTGTATACCAGTTAAAATGACTACATAAAAAGATGTATTAAATATTTTAATTTTACTAAATAAACAATTGATAAATAAGACTAATAGCAACCTTGAATGTGTATTTTGGGTTATCAGCAGGAGGTCTAGTCTTTTCAAAATCAATGGTATAACTCCAAAAATGGTTTAAGGGTCAAGATTTGAAAAAAAAGTAATTTGGCCTAACTCCACCCAGTCTTACATGCTTATTCTGACTTAACAAACCAGGATGTTTGTTAAAAAAAAAATCTGACAAAATTAGAACTTGATTTGCAATTTGTACTTCTGAGTGACAGAAATGATTTTTGCATGCTGTGTAGTGATGGTTCCAAAGTTCCAAAGAGACCAATCATGAAAAATGCTATCTGTAATTTTCTTAAAGCCTTTCCTCTCCTCTTGAACGTCTTAACCTATGGATGTGCTGTTGTTATTTTTGTTCTCCACGTCTGTGACAAGTTGACCTTTTGTATATATAGGTTGGCCTCCTGTGGAGACCAGACTGACTACCCTCTAGAGTTTATGTACCTGGAAGGTCACAAATACTTGACAGTGAAATGTTTAACATTTTTAAAAATGTTCTTTTTATAGGCCCATAACATAAGAGGCAATAGTGACAGTTTGTAAAACTGCAATGGTTTTCTTGCTTCTAGGATACTGCATAGGTCAGGGTACACAAAGCACAATTATATATTAAAAGCATAATCAAATTTCACTTTCTAAATTTAGAGATACCAAATATTGTTGTATAGCAATATATATAAAAGCTAAAAATACCAAGTGTTTGACAAAGTTACTTTCATTTGTGCAAGATGGTATTTAAATTATAGAAAAACTAACAAAGTACTATTATGTACTTTTGACTTTTATGTGGTATTTTTTCTCCTCATTTATTGTAAATCTATATTAGAACCAGAACAGCATTAAATGAGCCTTTTATACTTTAAATATTCAAGAGTTTCATATTCAAAATTTCTTCCACTGCTGTCAAACTGGAGTGCCTGAAGGCAAAGTAAGATCAAGTTAGGTTCTCAAAGGTAGAATTAAATTTTATCAAGGCATCCGTCATAATATGAATGTTGCTTAAAATGCAAATAAAAAAGCATCGAAATTCAAAGGCTACAGAATTTTCAGGTAGCATGCAAAGTCCAGGGGACCATTTCTATGGAATAGATTCATTTAATTTACATTTCTATCATTTTAATGAAAACACAGAACAAACAAGCAATCACAGATACATTTTAAACCCTTATTTTTCATTTGAATTTCTTTTTTTATGCAATTACAGAGTAAGGGGAAAGAAAGAAAAGAAGAAAGAGGGAGAAAAGAGAAGGCATATTAGTAAGTCATTACCTCAGCCATTTTTGAAAGCTCAGTCCAATCATTCTTATTATAGCTGCACATGATGCTGGCAATGACAATCTGAAAAGATAAGTATGGAATTCAGTTGTCTAAGATAATAAACTGGAGTTAAGAAAATCTGTTTGAATATCTTCTGTCTCTATTGTTTAACTACAATTGCATTTTTCTGCTATGCGTATCTATTGAAGAACAAGTCCTATTAAATTCAATTGATCTTAGTCTCAGGTAAATGTATTAAAATGGATTACATCAAATCTCTTTTAATATGCATTTCTAAAATAATTTGAAGAAAGTACATGGAAGATACATGAGAAACTGTCAGAGATATAATTGAGGACTGAATGGACAAGATACTGTACACTTAAACTGACTACAGGTATTTTGAAATCTACATTAAAAGAAATTGACAAATGGAAAACTTGAAATGTCTTTCAGTCCTACTGATTAAAACTTCATCCCACTCATAGAAACCTTGTGGGTACAATGTCTATTCCAGGTACTGGATGTATGGAGTAGCTATTAGATATAACAGATAGCTGCGATATAAGTGTGTCAAATAACAACTGTGAACAAATATGAGGTTCCTAGAAGAATGTAGCAATCCTAATGTGAGAAATATATTGACAACAATATATCCAAAGACAGTGCCCTGACTTGACAGGTAATAAGATTAACTCTGATAGAAAGCAGCTGTCCTACCAGTAGCAACTACAAGTGGAAGCATGTAGGCCAGAACAGCTGTGGCAGATATATATTGGCAATGATACAATACATTCATACGAAAAATAAACAGGGATGCAAAAGACAATAGAAAATCATTGCACTGTAGTTTCTCACCAAAAATTGCTAGTGGGTAAGAAGAATTACCATAATAATAGAAGAACTAAAGAATTGATGGTCTCTAAGTGTTGAGAGCCGATTTTAAATAAGAATATCCTGATAGGTGAAGTCTCTGTGCAAACCAGAGTCATTTGTGTATGTGTACAGCTGTAAAGTTTCCATGCTGAGATCTAGAAGTTTTGCATGTAAAAGTTTTGCATGCAAAAGCCTGAGTTCAAAGGTTTCCTTCCTTCAGATAGTGAATAATCATCTGCCCCCAATAGTAACATTTTGTGTGTATGATTTATTTGCAATGTTTATTTGTAATATTAATAGACACCCCATTCAACTGAGTCTCTAGACATCATACAACAAAGAAAGAGGACATAGGGCTACTCATTGCCGAGCTTCATTTTTTTTACACATTCCCATAATGCCTAATAGTGTTTAGATGCATTTGTATAAAGAGACATGCATTCAAACTGAGAGCCAGGCAACCTAGGCACCATTTTAGCTTGTGGTTTTGGAACATATAACATTAACAGCCACTCAACTGTCCATTCAGCAATATGCAATTCACCTTCACTTTAGAACTCTCAGTAGCTGGCCAACATATTGTGAATTCTTTTAAAATTATTACTTGTAGGGTAACTTACATCATTGCACAGATAACAAACCAAGTGGGAAGATAATGTAATAAACCAAGTGGATGACTGATCAATTTTATGCCTACAAATGTGTAATTCTGCATCTGGAGACTGACAATTATGCCACATTAGATTGAAAATCTCTGGTGAAACTGTTGGATAGCAAAAAAAACTTGGACAAGGATTTTGATTAGAAGTAAGATGAAGAAAGTATATATGTTGGCATCAATGCTTTGAGATAATGGAATGTTAAAATAAAGAAACTGAAAAATTCCTTAGATTTTGGGATGCTTTCATTAATCAATTGTTTTAATTTATCAATTTAGTATACCAACTTGCCAAGGATTCTGATTTTTTCCCCTTGAATCATCCTTTATTTTTCAGAAATATGTAAAGTCACACTGTTCTCTGAAGAATATAATCAAAGTAACTCTTTTTACCTAAAAAGTCACTTGCATGGATATGTGGCATATTTATTTTCCAAATGGCTGGATTCTAGACATTTGTATATACTGTATAACTGCCCATGTGTAAACACTGAAGTTGTGGAAATAAAATAAGATTTGTCTTTGATTAATGTTTACTGCTACCCAATTCATTGAAAATTATTTTCTTCATTGATTAAAGAAGTAAAGCATCTGAAGGAACCAGATTTAATCTTCAAAGTAAAACATGAGTCCCAGCTGCTTCTCCTGTAATTATAATTTTTCTCTATGCACAATTTTCACATCCATGTTCTATTCATTAATCTATTGTTTGAATTTATATTTATTACAAATATTACATTTTATAAAAGTTTTAAAGTCCTTTAAAATTGAGTTTATGTTTATTAGTTCTGTGTTTCCCAATCAACTGAGAAATTCTATAAAAAATACTTTCTTTTCTCAGTAAACAAAGAGTTTATTTGGAGCCTCCACATGAGTAAAAGTAATGTAGTTGAGTGTGATGTGGCATTTTTTGTTTAGGAACATGACTAAAGTGCAAGGAGTTGGCATTTTCCCCTCCTACTCACATTGTCTTCTACCTGCTGTGTTTTGCATCCTTCTCTCCTATTATAAGCAAATGGTTGGATGATAGCAGCCTCTGTTCAGGACCTGATTTAAAACCTTGTTTCTTCTGCTTATTTTATTTTGTGGCGGTGTTTGAGAAGGCGGCCTATGTCCACCTAGTTCCCAGCTAAACAACCTGTGATCCTGGTAGCAGACTCAAAGTTTCTTGTCTCTTAAAAAGAATATTGTGGAGCCTCCAAGACTATGTACATTCTCCTTCCTGATAGGTAGATAGAAAGATAAACAGACATCACTGGGATAAATTCTGCAGGCCTATTTTGCATTTGAAATCATAAGACAGAATTAAATTCAGTTAAGCATAAGTATTGAAAAGGGGCAAGACACTAAATATATCCTTCATCTTGGATGTTTTTGATGATGCATATATGTTGCTCCTAAACCTATAAATGTTTATGTCTTTAAAAATTTCCCTCACACAAAGCTCAGACTATCATAGAAATACACAATTATGTCACAATAAAATAAAATTTTCAGATTATATAGTCAATGGGTGCCAAACTTGATTGCATCACCTGATGCTTGTGACATTTTTTGCCTTTGTGGAGCCGGAGTGGGTGTGGCCTGCATGTAACGCATCCAGCCTATGGGCCACCAGTTTGACACCTGTGATATAGACTTTAGGGTTTTGTTTTGTAAGTAAGCAGTAAATTTTTCAAATATCCAACTGTTGCACCCTTGTAACTAATATATATTTTGCCTGTTACGCTCCCTTTGTTGGAACAAATTGTAATTTCACTGAAATGTACTATTAACTTTTATCTAACAGCAACAATAGCCCTTGTCTTTATAGCTTCATAATGGATAGCTGAATGATGGTTAGGCTGTGTTTTATCAAAATTATTTCAAAGATCTGATTTAAATCTTCCCTGTGGGAAAGTACTGATTGACAATTCTGTCCAAAAGTCTTTATTTTAAATGAAGGAATGCAAGAAGAAAAAGAAAAATGACAAATTGGATTACTGCCATATGTATGATTAGGAATGGTTTAATCTTAACATAGCTTGGCTGGAAATGTAATATTAGGCTGGAAATGTAATATTAGGCATTCTTTTTCATTTATTTTTAAAGAGACATTCAGAACTATTTATGCCATTTTATGCCTCATGATTGCACTTAAACAGGTTTAGATCCAAATTAGTCAATATCAAAAATCTGTTTGAGTAAAAACAGGTTGGATTAAATAGTTTGGAGTGACTGCATTATAATTATTACAACATAAAACATTTTCAAATTCCCTTTCCTGCAATTATACTGGGTCAAAGTTAATGTGCTTTCTGAACATAGTTGAATTACCCAAAGTCCTTCAGTTATGTTTTTAAATATGCTGATCTTCACAGTCTTTTCACACTACCAACATACTAGGAATCAATATTTTAAGACTCTGGCTATATTTTGAGATAGAAAACCCAACTCTGAAAATGTAACACTGAATTAATATGTAACAGGAACATCTTAGACTCATTGGCTTTTGTTCCTTAAATATCTCACCTCTGTCATCTTGAAGAGCTCATCAACTCCACTCATCCATGACATACTCACTCTTCTCCTTCATCTTGACCTGTGCACTATTCTGTCATATATTTGTCTTGCAATTCAATCTTCTTTCGTTCTCTTTGATCAAACCATCTCAACATATTTCTTTTCTACTGACCACTCAACTTTCTATTCAGTCCACAGTCATTGAGCACCCATTCAGTTTTGATCTTTTTCTTTTACCACATGTACTTTTTAAGACCTCCACACCCACTGCACTCAAATTATTTTTATTTTTCTCCTAAGATGCTCAATTCTCACTTCCATATGTGGGCAGGAATCTTATACAGATACTCTTAAATACATTCATCTTCATCTCTAATAACAAATGTGAGGATGAGGATGGTAGAAAAGATTATTGGCAGTTCATTCCCTTCTATCAAGGACATAGCATATAAGCGTTGCTTGAACAGGGTGCGCAGAATTATCTGGGACACTACACATCCTCTTCACAACCTGTTTTCCTTGTTACCTTCTGAGAGGAGGCTCTGTGGTATCTGAAGCAAACATCCAGTTTCAGTCATAGTTTTGTTCCATACAGTATCAACCTTTTGAACTCTTAAGCTTCCTCTTTCCACTATGTATTCAAGATGGACAGTGATTAATATTTATATGTAAAGTTATAGGTAAATACCTACATACATACATACATACATACATGTCTGCATTTTTGAGAGAAGGCCACAGAATTCCATATTTAATGTGTGCCAATGTGCCCACAATTAAAATGACAATAAAGATTATCTCCTCACAACAGACCTTTCTAGAAGAATGTTTTACTTCTGTTACAGTATATATTGAACTCTTATAGGATTCAGCAACCTCCAGTTCTATATGTATCCATCATCCAAGTTTATTCACTTTATTATAATTTCTAAATGAATAAATATACAAGAAACTTTCCCACATTCCACTATTTCTCATTGATCAGCTGAAGGGGAAAAAAAATCATTCCATAGACTCCTGCTCAACATACAGCAAGAAAATATAT